GCTGCAATGCACAATACTGTTTCCTGTCAAAAACACACTTGGATTGTTTTATTGTTTCAATGTTAGAAATCAGTCTAATCAAAACAAGGCCTGAGCTGTTAACTATTTGCACAGAGTGACAAAAGAACGTTGAACTAAGCGGTGAACAGGCAGCAAACGACAGATGACAGCAAGCAGACAGGCTGTGAAATTTATCAGCGCTGACCGTGACAGGTGATCAGGGGCACGAAGGAAACATGGTCGCTGGGCAAGCAAGAAACAAGCTGCAATAGTGGAACTGACTGGAACTGATTGAAAACAGAAAAAAAAGAGTGGAAAGCACTCCAGATGTGTCGAGGCACAGCTGCTTCTGGGAGCCTGCAGAAAATCCTGATTGCCACACCCACAGAAACACACCGGATAAGGCCACCGCACGACACGCTGTCACACACAGGAAAAACAAACATGCAGCTGCAGAACATGATCAAGACAGTGTTGCTACGGTTACAGATAAGACCAAACTTGTTGTCATTTCTGTTGTTGTTTGGTCTGACAGCATTTTTTTTTTTTTTCACGGATGGATTTTGAAACAAATGGCATCGTGATACAAATTTATAAAAGGTGTCAGTTCTTACATCATGAAAGATTAAAGACAGGGGAAAAAAATGCCTCCCATCTTCATTCAGATCTTCCACAAATCTCTGGAGCTTAGTGAAGTTCCCCCATGCTTTAAATAATGTCAACCTTATCCCACTCCCTAAAAATTTCAGCCTCACAAGGTTAAATGACAACAGGCCTGTCACCATAATGAAATCCCTTGAGCAACTGTTGTTGAAGCATCTTAAGAACATTTCTGGCCCCTTGTTGAACTGTCTGCTGTGACAAACAGGTCAGCAGATGATGCAGTCTAGGATTTATGCAGGTCTAGGCTGCATAAAGTTTCATGCAACCATTTTATCTGCAGAAATACTGGTAAAATAGTAAGTCAACATTTATGTGTTGCACCTTTTGACCAATGCTTATGGTTGTGATTAATCAGAGACTTGCTAAGAATTATTTCAAAGTTTTTAGAACTTTTAAATTAGCAAAATGACACAAATTATTAAGAAAAGTGTTAACAGGCTGAAAAGTGCTTTTTTTTCAGCCTGTAAGTTGTAGAAAAACATTCATTTTTGGGGGGGATGGAGGGAAACTCCATAAAACCACCAGAGTGGAATAAGTGATTATTTTTGCTAGATGTAAAAAGTTCAGGTAAGCTCATTATGAAATGACCTGGAAAACATCAGGCTAAAAGCTGAAACAGAGTTGTTCATGAGCACTACATAATTATTACCAAGGTTATTTGCATTAATACTCAACGATCAAGATCTTGCATGTAGTATATTTTCAAGTTTACAACATAAATAAAATTGATATGCACTAACATACTGGTTAAGAAATTTCTATGATTTCTTTCTTTTTCTTTTTTTTGTCACCTCTGTGTAAGGTGTAACAGTACTGTCCACAGGGAAAACAGTGAAAGCTTCTGAAAACAGCCTGGGGATGTAGGCTGTCCTTACTTGGCACACAGTGAGTCAGCAGGTGCTTAGCATGAAGCTTATAGCAGCAGAAGCTGTACAGGGAAGATACAGTGCCTGACTGTGGTACTTCACTTTAAAATAAAAAGCAAAATATGCTTATTTAAAAAATACAAATGTTAGAATCCATGGTGAGACATTTGTCACAGCTGATACGATACAATATGAAGCGATCACTTGTGATGCAGTGCAGGGTGTTAAAGTACAGCATGTTAGTTTTTTTGTTGTTGTTTGTTTTGTTTTTTTTGGCCCCGAGTCGTTGATTAGATCGGTAGAAGAGAGAAGTACTCTGCAGAGAAATTACAATGCATGGCAGCTGGTTACTAACAAGATTCAAAAGATCATAATCGCAAGAGACTCCATCCAGCCAAGCTCCGAGCTTTTCTGTGGCCAAACATTACAATTCAGGCCCACAGAAAATATCTGGAACTAAATGTATTACTCTGTTATGTGTCTGCATTTATCTATTTTGAACAAACTGAAACAATTTGATTTATACAGTACTTGCACCATTTTATTATGTATTCAAAAGTACGTACACACAATATAGAGGCAATATCGCCGGCATCAGCCGATATTAGTAATTTTTGAATATATCAGCATAGGTTCAGAAGGTCAAACTGGGTCGTTTGTGTATGTGTTTCAGGGGAGGTGATTGGTTGTGTGCCCTAACTAATGTTTTTTTTTTTTTTTTTTCTCTGTCAACAAACTTTTTTCTTTTTTTTTCTCCAAAATATTTGTCCTTGTTTCCGGCAATAATTCCATCTCGCCACATTTAATACTTCTGTCTGAAATGTATTCAGATAAGATTTGTGTGACAGGAAGGTTAATAGCTTGCTCACACAGGATTTGAAACTCAAATGCAAATCAACCTGTGGAAGCGTGTAATCCGTTTTATGCAGACTTTTGTGAACACAAAGGTCGTTGCCTAATTGGTAATGTGAATAAAAGGGTCATTCTTGTCTCTTTTGACACAAAGCAAATCAAACAACAAAAAAAATAGTTTTTTTGTCATATTCCTACTCAGAATACAAGAACTAATGGACAGTTGTTTTTTTTTTAAGTTTAATTTACCTTGACAAATTCTGTTTGAAATTTATTTTTTGCTAAAATATTAAAAAAGGCAAAAAAAAACAAAAAACAAGAGCCTACTTAGGACATACTATCACAAAATTTGAATTACTGGTCTCATGATAGCAGAGATGTTTTCATCTCTCTTGTCCTTTCCTCCACTCTGTACTTAATTCAGCTCTTCTTGTTGTACTCTTGCCATTGAAGCAATACTTGCATCGTCTCATTATATATCATGAAAAAAAAAAAAAAACTTAAACATAGGTTGAGCCTTCATTGGGACATCCCACCATTCTTTGCGTCACTACTTGTTCAAACTATAACTGGGTGTCTTGGAGACTCACATCTCTTTACAAGAGATTCCTATACTGGTTCTGTATGTCGACTCCAGTCACCAGAACTCACATGCCAACTTTATGAAGCAAACTCAGATTTATCAGTTACTCCCAGTTATTTATCAATGGTGCAAGCAGTGTATAAATTGGTTCATATGCTCTTGAAAAGTCCTTCCACTGTGTCAGAAACATCTTGAGGCTCAACTTCGATCAGAAATGTACCTGGACTTCAGTCACCAGCTTCTCTGAAACATCAAATTGTTATTTACATGGTGTTGTGAGCCTCTTGTGTTTGCATTTTATTAGTGCCACTAAAGGTGTTCCATATACAATTAATATATTGTGTTGACTTTCTACATTGTTGTATTCCCTCTGTATTTTGGTCCAGACTCTGATTTTAGTGCTAGTTTTCCCAGGGGAGGTTGATTCGTTCGTGTTTTGGTTTTGCTGTTTCTGTGCTCATTCTGTGTCTAAAGTGGTCTCTCCTCAGCACCTTAGCCTGTTAATTATGTTGATTGTATTCACATGGTTTAAATGTCAAAGATCACACCTCCACCGTATTTGAGATTCCTGGTTTTCTTTGTTTGCTGTTAGATTCTTCTCTCATTCTGAACCACAATAACCCACATTCACACCCAGCTCTCAGTCTGGAATTTGTTCCAGCATTTGAGTTAAATTAAATTATTTGTGACAAACAGGAGAAAAAAATTTCTTTAATATTTTTTTTTAAATCAGTAATAATTGTGAAATATTTTAGTCATTAATGATTAGAATGTGATGTGCACTGAAGTGCCTTGTTTGTCTTAAGTTTTATTTGAAGGTATTGCTGTACACTGTGTACAGAGAGGATGCAACAATAGTGGTGGAGTTTATCACCAAGGTTAGAGTCAATTAAAAGTGCCTTAAGTTCAATTGAACAGTGGGCAGTGTGCCTAATAACTACAATTAAAGACAGCACTGCCTTACAGGAAAGTGTATGTGTGTGTGTGTTTCAGTCCAATGACAAACAGAAAAGAAGGTAACAGCAGCCTAATGTGCACATTTTTTTTAATCAAACTGAACCATATACTTCATTTGCATGACTGACATAGCTTCAAACAGAGTGGGAAGTTTCGCCATTATTGAACTTTTCCTCAGAAAACTGTTAACTTTATAAATTCTGACTTGAAAAATATGCCACAAATGAATGTGAAACCTTAGTTTTTAAATTCTGTACTCTGTGCCACAACAGGTACCCATGAGATCTCCAATTAGATACAATTGCTTCAGGCATAAATATGTGTCATTTTGTTTAATAAGCTAATTTCTCATCCACCCATTCCATCTTTTAATGTGTGTATCTAGTAGTCTGTTGTGTTTTTGCACTATTCCATACATTTACCAAAATAAAATATTGCACAGAACCTAAATGCATGATTGAGCCGATAGAGTAGAAGTAACTCAAAGATTTTTAAAACATGAAGGCAAAAAGAATTTATCTTCAAACAAGAAATGATGCAGTAAAGACAGAATTGTCAAGCAATACAACAACTTTTGTATTTTTCTATTGATTAGATTATCCATGACTTTATCTACACCAGTTAGTCACTTACATTCCTGCACTACCTCTCAGCTCGCATGAACAAAGCAATTGCTTTAAGGGGTTTGGTTTTATGCATTTATTCTGCTTGCAATGAATATTAGAGCTTAGATTTATAGTCCATGCCCAGACAGAAATTATGGCCGGATCGGGTCAAAATTATATGCTGGAGGGTCGGTTAAGGTCAAACTCAAGGTTCTGTTCACTTTTAATAAGCATACATTACTTAGAGCACAGAGAAAACTAAGCAAAAATGTACAATATAAACTTATACTAATCTACTTTTTGTAATGCAAATAGAGGTGCAGGTAGTTCAGCATGGTGAGAAAAAAAAATAGTAAATTGGAGAAGTTAGACTGTAAAAAGCTAACTAATGCACATGTTACCTCACCCTGCTTTGCTCCCATCCGTCATGGTTTCATGTAATTTTCGAACCCATATGCAGAAAACACTCAGGTGTAGAAAAAGGTTTCTTATATTTATTGCAAAAACAAAACTGACAATGAAAAAAGGTTCAGGAGCGGAGAACTGCCTGTCTGGGTCTCAGGGGATCTGGGGTGCGGACAAAAACACAGAATGGTGAGTTCAAGTTCAGTGGGAGTTTGAAGTGTTTAACGGAGATGTGTGATCTTACTTATAGGAGTGGGTCCAGATCTTGAAGGGGAGGAATAAGAGGCTCCGGGATCGGCGGTCTGAGTTGGAGGCGGAGGAGGGCGGACAGGTAGGTTGGGTCTTCGGAGGAGCTGGGACAGGTGCAGCTTGCCGGCTGGAGGACTTGGATGAGTTGGATCAGATGTCTTTGGAAAACGGTGCCCACGCCTCTTTCAGCACAGGGATAATCTGAAGATACGCACAAGGGAAGAGACAGTCACTGAGGTTTCTCAAATAATTCTACACAAGAGGAGAATTCACAGAGACCAAAAGTACCATTACTGATCAACAATCTGGCGTCGAAGTGCCGGCAGCTCCCTGCTGATATACCCCTCCACTGATGAGGGATATGCTGCAGGTGCGTGCATTATCAGCATGGACACACCCTCCAGGAGAAAACGCCTCTCAGCCCCCTCTGGTGGACAAAGAATGGAAGAACAACCCCAGAACCCCAACACCATCAATCACACATTCCAGAGGATTTACACTCGACTCACACTGCAGTTGGCACAAGCAACAAAATAGAGCTGGAAGATGTTAAGCAAAAGCTATAAATGGGAGTTTCACCACTAAGTCATAAAAATGCGAAGTCAGAGGTCGATGAGTGTTTTAAACTGGTACTGCAGCAAATGTAGCACTTATGTTGGATTGACTTTGGGTTCGAGCCTCTAACTAGTTTGCTTTAGCAGAACATCTTAGACATCTAGATTTCCCACGACTTTTAGAAAATTAGGATCTTTGAAAGCTGTGCATCTTGCAAACAGCATTTCAGGAAAGGGAAAAATCATCTCGACAGTAAACATAGCAGTGGTAGTTGTATAATCTGCTGCTGCTTAAAAGCTCTAAGACCTGAAAAGAAATTAAATCAAAGTTTTTGAAATATATATTTGAAGCCTAAACCTAAATCCCATGCTGTGCTGTGACCCGAAACAGACTTGAAGCTAAACTAAAATGAAACGGTAAAGAAGAGTGGACCAAAATGTATCTACATCATTGTAAGTCTGCACTGGAAGCTACCACAAACAACTGATGGCCATTTTTACAGGCAAAGGCATCATAACCAGTTACAGGAGTTGCTTTTTAATAAATGAAATCATTATCTTAATGAAGTTTTTTTTGTATTTCTTCAGCTATCTTTGACTATTGAGATTGTTTTAATGATGTGAAACCCAACTGAGGCAAAAAGCTGAAAAAAAAAAAAAAAAAAAAAAAACAAGGGCTTTGTAGTGGGGCAAATATTTCTTACCAGCACTGAAAGTGCATACAGAAGATATTGAAACAAGAAATAAAAAAAATATATATTGATCAAATGGGTTATATTTGAGTAGCTTTCTCTTCTGTAATGAATTCCACTCATCCTTCCCCATTTTCGTTCAACTTTTCATTATGTTCTGTTCATCCCTCTGTTTCTTTCCCATCTTTGTTTGTCAGGTCGTCTTAAAGGTCTCTCTCTTCGGAAGTGAAGGAATAACAGAAAAGCTGTCCAAAGTGCCTGTCTGGTCAATCACCCCTAATCTTTCTCTTCTTTTTACCTCGTTGGAGTACTGCTACTTTCCACAATCTACTTTGACTGCAGTGAGAATGTGCATTGTGAACTGTAGATGCTACAGTAATCCACTGACACTCCACAATAGAAGTAACAAATACATAAATTAAAACCACTTTAGAAAAGGTTACCGTCATACACCTCTGGTCAATATTTCTTCTCAGTGTGTTTTTTGTATTGTTTGCTGTAGTTTCATAGTGTCCAAAATGGAGAAATTCAGATACATATTTAGTTCATTTTGTTGCATCATTCTTCCAAAAAAATTCTTCAATGCAACAGCAGCTGGCATGATTGGGCAACTATGGTAAAATGTATATTCCTTTGGTTAAATCACTGAACCTTGAACTTTCATAAAATTAATTTAAGGCGGAAAATCTGTCCAACTGCGAAAGGCTTTGGGGTTTTTCTGTTGCTCAGAGTTTGAGCCTGTGAAGAGATCAGCTTCCTAATAGAAGTACCCATCTTTAAATGAATGACTTTAATTAGAGGACATGTTTAAGAGTCGAGTATATTGCAAAGCAGTCGTCACAAAAAGCTTCATACCTAATTATAAAGTAACAGAGCTATAGTTCTGAAAAATCATTTGATTAAAAGAACATCCTGTTGAAAAGGCCACTCAGAATACAGAGTGTGCTTACATCATGACAGGAACAGAGAGGAATATCAGTTGTGCATCATGCAACTGCAATGGATTCTCGTAAATGGAAACATTCAGGGTTTAAAGAATTTACATACCGGAATTATTTTTAATTGATTTGTGACTTGGATGTGGTGATAGTGCACTTCATGTAGCCAAGTTTTAGCATTCCTTTGAAAGCAACGGTAATGCAACAATATGTTAGTGCAGAGGACTATAGCAGGGTCTATGCCCGCTTCACAAGTAAAGTCTGTAATCCTCCTCTCTGCGTATGAACATGGGGGATTAAGTGTTTCACATATTTTAATAATTTTCATCTTTTATTTGTCGAATTAAATTAAATTAAATCAGACTTCTGACCACCACCAACAAGCAAGGTGGGTGAAGTGTCTTGCCCGGGGACACAACAGAGATGGACGCAGCAATTCACCGACTGGAGGGGGAACTCCATCCATCCATCCATCCATCCATCCATTTTCTATACACCCTTGTCTCTCGCAACCAAGCTTTTAAAATATTTCTACATTTAGACATGAGACATGCAATTTTTTGTCAATATTTATTATGGCTAGCACAACAAATTGTTAAAATGTAATGATGCCCTTCTTTCACTGAATTCAGCACAAGAAAGATTTTGCTCATCATGTTACAGAAAGACGGCTGGCTGTCTTGATACGAGGGAAAACTGAGGATTTTAAGAAAATTAAAATTGGCTTACTGACTAATTGTAAATTGATTGATAAGATCTGTCATCTTTACATTTACTCAAACTTTCACCCTTAACTAGGACATGTGATATTAATTTAAACTCTAGATTAGGTGGACAGATTATGCATCATTTTGTAACAGTTTTTTTTTTTTTTTTTACTGTAATTACTTGAAATGATTCAGTCATGTGATGATCACATGCAGTCTGCCTTTCACAGAGGTCCATCGTGTCTTTTTTCACCTCATCAATTAACCACTAGGTAAATAATGGGTTTATTATAAACACACACACACACCTACACACACACACACAACAAACAGAACGACATGCCTTAGTTCTGAAGTTTTACCTAAACTTTTGGACCGTTCAGGATACAATGGGCACAGTTTTCTTTCTGAACTGTCAAACTCAGCTGATGGCAGTGACAGCCCTGGTTCCAAGTCAAAATCAGATCCATCTGTCCTGGAGGAAGATGCTAAACTAGACAGATGTGACGCCCAGAGACTGTGCGCGTTTCAGTAAGCAACCCTGTACATGTTCATAAGCCTTTACATGTGCATCTCATGCCTTAACTGCCTTTGCTGAAATGATGCATAGTTTAGTCAACTGTATAAGGATGTTTGTCCTTGCTGCTACATTCCAAGAAAGTGAAAAATGTTCGGATTTTTAAACTCAAAATAAGCTACAAATCTTACAAATATGTGTAATTACTTGGTATTTTAATTACATTTGGATCCACAAAAGAATTGCTTGTGGTTTTTTTAGTACCTGAGATCTGGTAAGGGATACTTGGTACCGGTGAGAAGTGCAAGTCCTAATATGTTAATGGATTCTGTGGTTTAGGGTTTAACTCAAACTGGGCAATTTAGTGTTAAAAATTGACCCACATTAGCCAGTCTCTGGACCTTTATGATATGCCATGTGAAAGATTTATATAAATCATCTTTGAAAAGCAGTTGGATCTCATCCATTTCCCAGATGGCAGCAGGTGAAGGTGAGCAGGCGAGAGATGTAAGAGTTTGACACACAAACTGGGAATAAATCTTCCAGAGATGGAAAACGCTGAAGATCAGAAAAGACTGGCATTCAATGGCAGATCAATGAAAGGTGAGGAAAAAAGAATAAGTGGAGAGGAGAAGTGTATTATCAGGATGCCCCAGCCTCAGTGAGAAAAAAAAATGCCGTACAGAAATGTGAGAATAGCGGATACACCATTTGCATTGAATGAGAGGATACAGCCAAATTCTGCAGGCTGGGCATAACTCCTCATGAAGACCTACCGACTCAGTTAGCTTACTTATACCTGTCTCAAGCACAATTCCCGACATAATGCAAAGTAGCTTTTTTATCTTCCTCTGGTGACCTCTTAGTGTGAATTCCTCCACTTTTTCCCGCCCATACACTTTTCACCATTTAACTACGTTTACATTTCTGCAGTTGGCTTCAAATGTTTCTTCAATTTTCACTAAAAATATACAACTCTCAGCATTCGCATTGCATTCCTGCAGGAAATCCACATTTCTCCAGTTATAATGAGCTTTTTACCCATCAAACTGAATTAATCAGATTAACAATAAAGGAAACAGTTTTCTTTTTCTAAAGAGCACTAAAGAGATTAAACTGTTATGGAAAATGTACTCTTTACTGGAGGATTTCCTTGTCTTTTATAAATAAAATAATATCCAAGAATTCATTTCACTTCTTTATCTGAACAAGTAAACAAATGTCATGTCCTGATGCAGTTTACTTAATATCCTTTGGGTTAGGATTAAGGAAGTAATCACCAGCCAACTTCCATGTGCTTCAGCACCCTCTTCTGGACAAAGTAATATACATCTAGAGGATCAGTTTAGGCTTATTCGTGAACATTCTCAGATCGACTCTGGATTATTAACTTCCTGACAAGTGACACTTTGTGAGACTGAAGAACTTTGTATGCAGCAAAGAATAAGATGAGCCTCGCATTCAACATTTAAGTTAACGTTCACAAAAAAAGTATCCCAGACACAACACAATCCTGACATCCGCACAAACGCCGAGATGCCTCGACTGCTGTAGCTTGTGTCAGTAATTCACATGGAAGTTGAGGAGAATGATGGAATATATTTTGGCATTTGTGTGAACATTTAGCATAAACAAGATGGGAGAAGCCAAGAAATGTATGAGGAGAGAAATGGATGATGCTCATTTCTATCTTGTGGTGTTAGCTTTGAAAACAGAATATAAATGTCAGAAGATACAGCTCGATACCACCACAATTCCCAGATTAATGACTACCTGACAAATGCACCACAGTTAGACAGACTGAAGGATTTGTCTGACCAGATCAGTGCCACAGGAGCGCCACAGGGGACTGTACTCTCAGCATTCCTTTTTACCGCGCTCACTTCAGTTTTTAAGTACAAGTCAGGTTTCTGCCATCTGCAGAAATTACTAGATGACCCTGCAGTCGTTGGTCATATCGAGAGTTGGTGGGACACTTTGTGGCATACAATGGGAACAATAATCTCATCTTCAATATGAATGTTACAGGGGAAATGATAGTGGATCTTAGAAGCAGAA